CTCTGAGGTGCTAAAGTTATTTCTTTCCTGTTGCTTGCAATTGTCTTTCCACCCTCATTTCAGCCCAGCTGGCCTGTTGCCGATGAAGCATTTAAAATGTGGAAGCCCTTTGACGGGATAGAATAGAATATAGAACAGTCTTTATTGGCCTAGTGCAGGGGTAGGCAACCTTGACTTTTTTATGACTCGTGGACTTCAACTCCCAGAATTCCTGAGCCAGCATGGCTCAGCTTGGAAACCTCTCCCTTTCCCCTCAGCATGGCTGGCTCAGGAATTCTGGGAGTTGAAGTCCACGAGTCATAAAAGAGCCAAGGTTGCCTACCCCTGGCCTAGTGTTATTGGACTCACAAGGAATTTGTCTCTGGTGCATAAGGCCTCAGTATAGGTACAAGCAGCAAAGTGACAAATAAATCATAAGATGCAATCATAAATCATAAGATACAGCCAACAAAGCGATAGTCACAAAATACCAACAGGAGTAGGTAATAGGAAAGATAAAAATAGTAATACAGGCCTGCTACATGGTTAGATATCCTTTGGTGTAGGACAGTGCTGTGGGAATTATGTGTTTAGCAGAGTGATGGCATGGGGGAAAAACTCTCCAGTTGTTTTGGCATGCAATGCTCTATAGCAGCCTTCTGACGGGAAAAGTTGAAATAGATCAGGGGTCCTCAAACTTGGCCACTTTAAGACTTGTGGACTTCAACTCCCAGAATTCCCCAGCCAGCATGGCTGGCTGGGGAATTCTGGGAGTTGAAGTCCACAAGCCTTAAAGTGACCAAGTTTGAGGACCCCTGAAATAGATTATGTCCAGGATGTGAGGGGTCCGTAGATATTTTTTCAGCTCTCTTTCTGGCTCATGCAGTTATACAGGTCCTCAATGGAAATCAGGCTGGTAGCAATTGTTTTTTCTGCAGTCTTAACTCTCCGTGGAAGTCTGTACCTGTCCTGTTTAGTTGCTGTACCAAACCAGGCAGTTTGATTTGCCCAATTACAATTCCTGTTATAGTTGACAATTCAACCACACAAGGAATCCTGTGTGTAAACATTGACATCTTCTGCTCCTGTTTTGTGAACATGTTTGTTTCCAAATGCCTGCAGAAACCATTTAAAAAAAAATATAGCACATTCAGGATGCCTCTGGTAGCTAAACAGTGGTAGGGGAAAAATGTCCTTGGCTATGGCAGTATCTGCATTTAAAATGTGTTAATCTAATTGAAATAGATTGTACTAAGCCATCATTTTGTTTGTTTGATTCATACATCTTGCTAATCAAAACAATCCGTTTCAAATTAGACTTACAATGAACTTACTAGGACATTTTGCTTTACTCAGTCAATTGTAGTAAAAATCCTGAATTAATCCGTATGAACATAGATGTATTAAAGACATGTTTAGCTGTGGCATCAAATCTGTAGACTCTGTCGTATCCTTATAGTATAATCTGTTTTGCCATGATCAAAATGTCCTTAAGGGCAGAATAAATTAACACAAGTCAAGTGTTGTTCTGATTTAGTCTTCCATGATTGCATTGAACTTGATGAAAAGATCTGAAGTGTGAAGTCCTTGGTGTATATGTATATGTAGCTTAAGTTGAATTGTGAGCCCTTGATGGTCTCTGAGCTTGATTGTTTGCTTGCAGACATTTCATTACTCAAATAGATAACATCATCAGTGCTAGTGAATGTAGGGTTTGTTTGCATACAATAATTTGCCCTGCCAATGTTGGTGGGTTGATCTGAAGTTCTGGATAGTGAAAAATACCAAAAAATATGAAAAATTACACAACCACTCAAGAAGACTCTTAGATTTCCTTTCTGAAAACATGCTTTCTTATTTGAATAAAGATTGCATTTGCATAGTGCTAGAATTTATTTTTCAATCTATTTCAGAGTTTACAATTGTTTTTGTTGCACTGTATGCATTTATTATAGTTTTTACCTACAAATAATTTTCTAGTGTATAGTATAATCATACGTTGTATGCATGTGCACCCTCTGAGAATATATGTATGGGGGATATATTCCCACTTTGTAACAAATCATGATAGATTGCCAAGTGTGATGCATAATAATGGTTTTGACATGTAAAGTTCTATGTTTCTTGGTGCCAAGGTCTCTTGAGGGCCACTTTTTCCAATCTGAATTGACCCATCCAGTACCTTCTTCACAGGAGATGGTCTTGGCGATCCCACATTTCTAGGAGATACAGGTAGTCCTCAACTTACAACAGTTCATTTAGTAACCCCTCCAAAGTTACAAAGGCATTGAAAAAAGTGACATATGACCATTTTTCAGACTTTTGACCATTGCAACATCCGCATGGTCATGTGATCAAAATTCAGAAGCTTCAGAAACTCATATTTATGACAGTCGCAACATCCTGGGATCATGTGATCACCTTTTGTAACCTGACAAGCAAATCAATGGAGAAATCAAATTCACTTAACAACCGTGATTCACTTAAGCACTGTGGCAAGAAAGGTGGTGAAATGGGGCAAAACTCACTTAACAAATGTCTCACTTAACGACAGAAATGTTGGGCTCAGTTGTGACCGTAAGTCGGGGACTACCTGTATAGGGGCTGAAACCAAGAAACATTGGTCCTAACCCAGGGTTAGGCAACCTTGGCTCTTTTATGACTCGTGGACTTCAACTCCCAGAATTCCTGAGCCAGCATGGAAGTCCACGAGTCATAAAAGAGCCAAGGTTGCCTACTCCTGTCCTAACCTAATGGAACTGCTTCCCTTTGGACATCAGATGAACCTCCATCATGATGACTTTTTGGAAAGCATGGAAGGCAGAATGAATTCGGAGGGGCTCTAGTGATTTAATATTTTCTTTCTTATAATTGTGGTTGGTGAACACTGGAAGTGTTAACGTGTTGTTTTTGTAAGTGATCCTTTATAGGTAATGATTGTGTAGCTCTGTTGAAATGTTGTCGGTCTGTTTTGTTTCTTTCTTACTTTTCCCACCATTTACTTTGCTTTATGTTCTTACCGTGGACATTTAACTATTTATTTTGTGTCACGAGTACTATGATATTTATTGCCTTGTAAATTGCCATGAGTTTGAATTGACGACATCATCCCTTTACAGATAGACACCTCCATATCTTCGTTTCTATTCATTGCTTTTTTATCTAATTGCATGCTGCCCAAGTTGCTTTTGATGAGCTGGGTGGTTATATAAATTTAATTAATAAATAAATGTACAAATAAAAGACTCTAAACTCAGGTTAGGGTAAACCGTGGATGAGAGTTCAACCTAAGGTTGCCATGACATATAACCTAGGCATCATGGCTTTGTTGACTTACCAGTTTCACATAACAAGCTACATGATTGGTTTACTTTAACCACGATTTAATATTACATATTTGAGTGTAGACTCAATGCGTGGCATATTTTGTCTACTGGATCTGTATTTGCACAATAGAGCCCTTTCTCAACATTGCTGATAATTAGGAAGTTTAATCTCTTCTAGTAATGCTTGTCATAGTTTTATCTGGCTGTGGCTTACGGTTGATATCTGGGAGATGTGATATTTTAGTGTTTTGTACTGTTTTGTACTGTAGGACTATTTATCGTGCTTAGTTTATCTTAAAAGAATGTGAAACTGACTTGCTGAGTTAACTTAGAGTCTTGTCTAACTTGGTAGCCCTGAATTCTGTGGTTTTGAAGGGTGCTTATTCTTAATAACATTGTACTCCTTTGCAAATGCTTGTTTGTACTACCTGGAGTGAACGCTCATGTGTGTCAGTTCTTCCATATCTACAATGAGTAAATGAAGCGGTGTAATTTTATTTATTTTGACACAGTCTGTTAAATTTTGTCTTCCTTTGATAAAGAGTGGAACTTGGGATAAACCAATGTGTTATGTGAAATATTGATTTGTCGGTCTTGTTTTGTAACAGACTGTGAGAATTTTATTTCTCTTCAAGCTGATATTTTCTTGTTCGGGAAACCTCTTTGGGACTGAAAAGTATTCAGGTTAGCAAAACACTTACAAAAAGCGAGCATGGCTGTTCAGTCTTTACAGAATGCAAGCTTCAGAGTGTGCTGGATGAAAAGAAGAACCTATGCGGTGGTGGGATTCAGCCGGTTCGCACCATTTCGGCAGAACCGGTAGCTAATTTTTTGTTGTTGTCCAGGCCCATAATGGACTTCCCGAAGCGGCATCCACACAGAGAACCGGTTGTTCACATATTTGAATCCCACCACTGTTGCAAAAACAAAACAAAACCCTGCTTTGGTATTTTCCCACTGTTTACTTGCAATTAAGCCGTATGCTGTTTATTCACATTAACATATATTTTTTTTGTACCCAACAATTTAAGATTTTCTTATTCTGTGCAATGAGGCCATGTTTTGCTTTGCTAGAGAAATCTATTCGTGGCATAACTGGCTATTTAGAGGAGACCAAGTTGGGATTAGGGCTCTTTTTGGAAATGATTCAACCGATACTTTTTGGAGTTATCGTGGGCTTTTGGGGGGGGCGGTTGTTTCAGGGAATGACTCCAAATGTATTAATGTTGCTTTTAATGTTAAGGATGTATCAATAATCCCTTTTGCTCCCAAGTTCATACATGGCTCTAGTCTAGAGCTTCCTGGCTAAAGACACCAGCGCCTCTGCGGATCAAATCGGGTCAGAATCTTATGACTTTATGACATCAATAATAATTTGACCATTCTCCTCAGTTCTAGCTAGACCGGGGGTAGGCAACCTTGGCTCTTTTATGACTCGTGGACTTCAACTCCCAGAATTCCTGAGCCAGCATGGCTCAGCTTGGAAACCTCTCTCTTTTCCCTCAGCACGGCTGGCTCAGGAATTCTGGGAGTTGAAGTCCATGAGTCATAAAAGAGCCAAGGATGCCTACCCCTGAGCTAGCCTGTACATTTAAAGTAGCTGTGCAGGAAAAAAAAAAAACAATTATTCCACGTATTTTTTTGCAGAACTAATAAAATATAAATTTTATGCCATTTTTTTTGTTTCATTCCTAGATTTTCAGCTGAACTCTCATCTGTCAACACTGGCAAATATTCACAAGATTTACCATACTCTTAATAGGCTGGTAATTACTTACGTTTTTTGGGAAATCATAATTATTTTAATGTGAAATAGACCTTTGAATAGTCTTCCTTTTATTATTTTGCAATCAGCGATGAAGACCTGTGTAAATTCAACTGTGCGTACTGTCATTTGTGCTCATTCTTTTTTCTGCATTCATCTTTAGATTAATATTCAAATTTTATATGCACAACTGGTTATGTTCCTTCATTCTTCCATTAAACAAATACCCGTCTGATTCTACATATCTTAGGATTCTTATCCTGCTATTCCTACTACCTTACATAGTCTTACCCATATCAGTATAATAAGCATGCTGTAGGATTATCAGAAAAGAATGAAGCCAGAGCTCTTGATACTGATTTTGAAGGGGGTCCCAAAGTTTTTCTTAGTAAGTTTTAATACTTTGGGGGTTTCAGTATAATGGGAATAGTTATATTATTTAGATATGTACTTGTTTATGTGTTTTAATATGATAACTCAATTGTATTTCTGACCATAGGACCCTAATTAGATTATTTAAAGCTGCTTATCCTTGTTAATATAAATGTATAATGCAGGGGTGGGCAACCTTGGCTCTTTTATGACTCGTGGACTTCAACTCCCAGAATTCCTGAGCCAGCTATGCTGAGGGGACAGGGAGAGGTTTCCAAGCTGAGCCATGCTGGCTCAGGAATTCTGGGAGTTGAAGTCCACAAATCATGAGGGGGCCAAAGTTTTCCCCATGCTGGCTCAGGAATTCTGGGAGTTGAAGTCCACGAGTCATAACAGAGCCAAGATTGCCTACCCCTGGTATAATGTGTAGGGTATAAATATATTAAAACACATATCAAGCTATTTCTCTGCCCCCTTCTTTCTGGAAGCATTAGGAAGCTTGCCTATCACAATGATACGGTCAATTGTTGAAGTATTTATAACAGGAACTAAGAATTAGCAAGTCGTTGATTTTTGTCATGGTTTCACAGATAGAAAAATGAAGCTAACTCACAAATTACAAGTGGGAGAAGATGGCAAGGAAGTGATGAGCACAGGGAGAAAGCAGAGCTACTTAATTCATTCTTGCCTTCAGTCTTGCTTGCATGTCTTCAAGCCAGAGGGAAAAAATAGCACAACCTGCCAAAAACAGAGCCGTAAAAGACAGACTAGGAATACCATTTAAAATAGGTAAGAAAATAGTAAGAGAATACCTGTCACCCTAGATGAATTCAAATGGACTGAATTACATGGATTACATCCCAGAGTTCTGAAGGAGCCGTCAGAGGTGATCTTGGAACCATTAAACCAATTCTTTCAAAGATCCTGTAGCACCGGAGAACTACCAGAGGACTGGAAAAGAGCTGATGTGGTTCCTATCTTCAAAAAAGGGAAAAAAATAATCCAGGAAACTATAGCCTGACATCAATCCCTGGGAAGATCCTAGAAAAGATAAGCAATAGATCTGCGAATACCTTAGAAGCAAGCGAAAGTTATAATCGGAAGCCAACATGGGTTTGTCAACAACGGATCATGCCAAACAAATCTTATTTCATTCTTTGACAAAGTGACTAAATTAGTGGACCAGTGAAATGCTGTGGACATAGTATACTTGGATTTCCGTTAGGCATTTGACAAAGTAGACCACAACCTACTTCTTAGTTAAGTTAGAAAAATGTGGGATAGACAGCATCACCACCAGGTGCGTTTGTAACTGGCTGACACACCTCACTCAACGTGTAGTCCTTAATGGAATTACATCTACATGGAGATGAGTAAGCACTGGGGTATCCCAAGTGCTGTCTTAGGCCCAATACTCTTCAATATCTTCATAAGCAATTTAGATGAGTGAATAAAAGGGAACTCAGTGTGCTGCACCCAAAAAAGGCAATGCAGTCCAAGGCTGCATTAACAGGGACAGAATCAAGATCACATGAAGGGTTAGTACCGCTTTATAAGCCTTACTAAGCCTTACTAAGACCACACCTGGAATATTGCATTCAGTTTTGGACTCCACAATATAAAAAAGATGTAGAGACTCTGGAAAGAGTGCAGAGAAGAGCAACAAAGATGATTGGTGGAGGGAGGCTAAAACACACGAACAGTTGCAGGAATTGGCTATGTCTAGTGAAAAGTAGGCCTAGGCATCTAGCACCGGCGAGATTGGCTAAAATTTATAAGAATGAATCCAGATTGCTGGAAATGCAAAAACAATGAGGGAACATTCTACCATATGTGGTGGCAATGCTCCAGAGCAAAAATTTACTGGGAGCAAATAAGAAGATGGATATTGGAAATAACAAGACAACAAATTGAATTCAAGCCCAAAATATTTTTACTAGGTATAATTAATCCAAAAATTGACAAACGACTCCAATACATCATTATGCATATTATAACGGCGGCACGTATTACATATGCACAACATTGGAAAAATGAAAGCATACCAACAAGTGCAAAGATTATAGGAAAGATTTTAGACTGTGCGGAAATGAACAAACTAACGTTAGAAATGAAAGACAAAGAAGTTAACTGAATTTTACGAGGTATGGGACATGTATTATAGTTGGTTAGAATTGAGGAATATAAAAGTAAGAGAAGTAATGTAAATAATTGTTAATAAACGTAAGAGGTATAGGACATAGTATTGTTAAGGAAAAAGGAAAATTATTGTGTATTTTGTCTGTTTGAAAAATAAAAAATATATAAAAAAAAGAAAAGTAAGCCTAGGGATGACGTGATAGCAGTGTTCCAATATTCACAAAGAAGAGAGGGTCAAGCTATTCTCCCAAGCACCCGAAGGCAGGACAAGAAGCAATGGATGGAAACTAATCAAGAAGAGAACCAACCTAGAACTAAGGAGAAATTTCCTCACAGTAAGAACAGTTAACCAGTGGAACGGATTGCCTTCAGAAGTTATGGGCGCTCCATCACTGGAAGTTTTTCAGAAAAGGTTGGATAGCCATTTGTCCAGAATGACATAGGGTCTCCTTCTTGTGCAGGGACTTGGATGAGAAGACCTCCTAAGTCCCATCCAACTCTGTTATTCTGTGAAGCTGGTTTTCTTACAGCCTGCCCTTTGGCTAAACCACCAGCAGCAATCTTTTTCCCACATGCTTCCTGCTAATGGTAATAATCTTGGACATACTCCATCTAGCTTCCAATGGGTGAACCAAGAAAGGGATTGGTTTTTAAAACAAAGCTAGTTTCTTATCACAAAGAAATGGTCTGGCAAAAGAAAATTATGCACACAAGCCTTTGAGGGAAGTAAACTCCAACATTGCCATTGCTTATTTGGTGGATCTCATATTCTACAATCCAGAGATTTTAATTCCATTTTTTGCAAACGATTAGTCTAAAATAGACTTGTAAGCACATACACGAGCTTGTTCTGGACCTTCCTTTACTTGATATAATCCAAAACAACTGGAGGGTACTTGGTTGCTTAGTATCTGCTCCAAGTCTAGACCTTTTACAGTATATCCAGTATATATGTATTGTTTTAATCCAAATGTGTTTTTAATCCCACTGTTAATATCAATTACAATCAGGCTGAATTTATCTTGCTGACTTTCTGGGGCAGGGAAGCAAAATCAGGCTGCAATGTCTTATTATTTGCTTATATGGAGAGGGGTTTGAAATTCTCAGAAGTGAAATGAAATTTGGAACTTTGTGGAACCCGTACATTTTGCAGTAATTAAAGAGAAATAACAAAACGACTATTAATAGGACTTTTTATGATAAAACACTTAAGAATTTCCAACCAGAATAATTTAAAGCAGAAAAGTTCACATGCTTTCCCTCAGAAAAGAAAGTCAGTTGTAGCTGTCTGTAGTCTTTGACATTTAAATCTGGTGAGGGAAAGTAAGAGGCCAGAATAAGAATAAGATAGCTGTCAATATCTGAACCTACAACGCAATATCCAAACTCCCAGTTAATTAATTTAAATATTTTTTTCAGAATTTGACAGAAGATACTAGTCAAGACGATCACCAAACAGGTAGAGTTCTTAACGTTTATATGCATTACACAATTTTTAAGAATGTTGAGTGAAAAGGAAACCTTATTAAGTTTTTATTTGTCAGGCAAATTTGTGTCATTATTTCTATTAAAATGGAGGACAGATTTATAAAACGGAGTGATAGAGTGTTTTAAAGGTGTGCTAATGTTTATTCAGTTATTTAATATTGTTATATCAGTTACTTTTTATACCTAGTAGATGTTCAATTAAAACAGTAGACTATTGCAGGCTGTGTTAAAAAGCTTTGATCAATCACGGTTTGTTTAATTATCTTCAGGGAATAAATCAGAGTGGCTGAGTTCACACAACATGTAAATCATAACCACCAGTAAACAAACTGTTGCAACTGAGTTCGCAAAACATGCTAAGAAAAAGACCAAACAATTCCCATTACAAACGCTAATACATTATACATTTGTACATTATATTAGGCCTAGTGTTGGTTTCTAGCAGCTTCTGAACTAGTCTGCAAGTATCTGATTTTCAGAAACACTTTGCCATTGCCTGCTTTTTAAGACTGGGAGAAAGTATCACTGGCTCAAAATTACCCAACTAACTTTGTGCCTTAGGTGGGATTAGAACTCATGGTTCTCCAGCGCTGGAGACATAGAATCCACCAATGGGTTAACTCTACCTTCCTGCCCATTAGATCGTGTCAGCCAACTTGTCACGCCCGTCCTGGGGTAGCCACTCCCCATTCTTGACTCGGTCTTCAGCCCAGACGGACGTGATAGATTGGTTCCTGGTCTAAGGCAGGTAATAAAGACTAAAATATTGGAGGATCCTCCTCCTCCCACCATGACATGTCGAGTTGGTCGTCCTCCATGGGACGAATTGTAGTCAGCTGCTTCGCCTTCGTCAAGAATGGGGAGTGGCTACCCCAGGACGGGCGTGACAAGTTGGCTGACCCGGTCTAATGGGCAGGAAGGCAGAGTTAACCCATTGGTGGATTCTACGTCTCCGTGCTGAGAGAAGGCGTTCAGGTAAGACAACGCCCCTTCTCTGCTTTGTAACCTAGCGGCTTAACCATTGCCCCAAACCAGCATGTATACATCAGATAAGGGCATTATGATAATGGCAACTTTATTTTCATATCTTCACTTAGTTATAGATAATTCAGACATACATGAAATTGGGGGGGGGGGAGGCAAGAGTTACCTCATTGTCATCAGTTCACATTTCCATAAATTGAATTGCATTTCCAGTTGGTTGACTGCTTACTGGATTAAACATCTTTAAAAACAACTGGTCTTTTGGGGGTTTTTTCGCCCCCAGAATACTTTTTCGCCCCCTGAAATATTTCATGTTTGTCTCTTTTTCCTACATTCCCTTGCAGGCAACCTGAGATCTTGCAGTTCATCAGACAGCTTTACCAAAGTGATGCCTCCGAGGAAAAAAAGGCGACCTACCGCGGGAGATGATCTGACAGCTAAAAAAAGTAGACACGATGGGTACGTAACCTTTCCTATTCGGTCATTTTTCAATTAAGAAACATGACATTTGGCAGGGCAGCAAACCAGGAGAAGATGGTTGAACTTTCAGCTCCCACCAGCAACTTATTTAAATGAAATTTCTAGGCCAGTGGTGGCAAATCTATGGCACGGGTGCCAGAGGCGGCACTCAGAGACCTCTCTGTGGGCACGCACGCCGTCGCCCCAGCCCTAGGCCTTCAGCTGGGTTTTATAAAACTTTTTCGCTTTAGGTCTCTGCCGCCGTGTGCAAAAAAAAAAAAAAAAGATTCAATCAGTCAATTTCAACTTCTCGCGGGAAAAAAAAAGATCTTGCAAAGTTGGAATTGATTGGACTTTTTAGTCCCACCCAGTCTGCCGTTACCACTGCGGCCACGCCTACCCAATGGGCCACGCCCATCCAATGGGCCACACCCATCCAGCACTCGACGATGCATAAGTGGGTTTTGGGTTGCAGTTTGGGCACTCAGTCTCTAAAAGGTTCACCATCACTGTTCTAGATTTTTTTATGCTCTGCAGGCCTGGCACAATATAGTCTCATTATTTTAAGAGTCATTGTCAAGGCTACCTATTCTTCCTTAAGAAATTATTTAGGATGACAGATTTCTCCGTCGATTTTATAATTTGACCGAAGTATTGTACACACTTTGATTATGGCGGGGGTGTGGCAAAATGCTAAAGAACCCTATAAAACAGAAATCTCACAACGATGAGCCTTAATTTGTAGTAAGTAAGTGAAGTAAGATTTGCTAGGCAAGATTTGTTTCATGCTTCTGGTTGCACATGTAAATCGTAGGGAAGAAATGTTTTGGATCGCGATTGAGCACAGCGTTTGTGCTCAATCGCGATCCAGTTTGTGAAGGATGCGTGTATATGATGTAAATTTTTACTCGTGGTTTTTACTTATGTGTACTGTGCAGCATGGACAGCACTTAATTTTGTTATGAGATACACAACGATAATAAATATATTCTATTCTATTCTATTCTTTCCATATTCTATTCTTTCCATATCCTATCCTGTCCTGTCCTGTCCTATCCTATTCTATTCTTTCCATATTCTATTCTATTCTATCCTATCCTATCCTATTCTATTCTATTCTATTCTATTCTATTCTATTCTATTCTATTATTTTCATTAATTTCTATCCTATCCTATCCTATCCTATCCTATCCTATCCTATTATTTTCATTAATTTCTATCCTATCCTATCCTATCCTATCCTATCCTATTCTCTGTTATTCATTAAAGCAACCTAATTTTTTTTCCCTGGGCTTCAGTGCAAGTCTGAAAAAAATCCTTTGCTGTAAGAATTGCAGTCAATTTGATAAAGCAGCCACCGCTTTTTCCAGGGCCATGCCATCCATTGCGTCTGTTTAAGGCTTGTCTTCAAAGTGCTTTAAATTCCAGTGTAGAATTTGGAAGTTTATGCAACTGATCTTATAAAATTATTTATAGTGTCAGAACTCTGAAAGTGAGTGGGTTGACTAGGGACAAGAAGTTACTTCGAAAGCTTGCAATCTATCGACATTGGCATATCATTTTATAGAACTGTGAAATACCGTGTAGTTAAGCTTTTTTCCCTCTTTTTTCAGCGTGTACAGAAAATATGATTCTACCAGAATAAGGTCAGAAGATGATATGTTTTCAAGTAAAAGGTGTTTAGAATGGTTCTATGAATATGCAGGCAAGTATTCACAACTGCACATCTTACTAAGCAAGAATTTGAAAGGAAAAAAAATCAATTCCTATTTGAAGTATTAAAAATATCATTTTTTTAATTAAATAAGGATGACTTCAAATAATTTTACCTTTCTCCGAAAGTGCAACTTAACTTTTGATTTGACATTATAGTCAGTGTTGCAGACCCTTAATAGATCCATTTATGAAAATCCAAAGGTGGCTTTGAGGTCAGCTGTATTTTAAACATTTGAAGAGTATCTCTTCTTGGTTAATTGGAGCAGTGGATGTGACTCTGCAATAAAGTAAATAATAAAATTCGATTCTGTTTTGATGACCCTTTGGGCCTTTTGAATATTTGCATGTCTTGATAGCTGTTGTGGGACTGAGACAGAGAAAGGAGTTTTGGACATTTGGACCTGCACGGCCTATTGTGTGCCTAAGCAGTGTTGAAGAAGTCACATCCTTGTAAGACCTCTTTTTGTACAGTCCAGACATTTGGACTTTCATAATCAAGTAAATTGTAAATTTGGAGTAGAAAATAATCTTTGTCATTTTTACTTGTAGGGACAGATGAGGTTGTGGGTCCTGAAGGAATGGAGAAGTTCTGTGAGGACATAGGGGTTGAGCCGGAAAACGTACGTTCAAGTTCATCTATAGGTAGCAGGGAACCACTTTGTGCTTCTCCCGTTTCCATTTTTTTGTGATTTATTTGTTCTGTTGCTGTACACTGAACCTGATGAGGAACTTAACACATTGATAGTGCTGGCACAGTGTGCTTATCCATTGTGTATTTAAAGGGCAAATATGGTTGCTGTTACTCTCTAGCACGTGAGCAGCTCTATCGCACAACTTTCATTTGTGATTAGGTAATTGTAGCAAATGGTTCCATATGTCCATGCATGCAGGATACATGTTATAGTCCAGCGGTAGGCAACCTTGGCTCTTTGATGACTCGTGGACTTCAACTCCCAGAATTCCTGAGCCAGCCATGCTGAGGAGAAAGGGAGAGGTTTCCAAGCTGAGCCATGCTGGCTCAGGAATTCTGGGAGTTGAAGTCCACGAGTCATAAAAGAGCCAAGGTTGCCTACCCCTGTTATAGTCCATGAATGTATACTTTCCAGTTTGTTTAGGAATACATACATCCAGAAACAATGTTGACTCGCATTTGGATGGCATACTTAAAATTTTGCTCTGGTAACAGGCTATCACAAGAAAACCACTTCTTCACTTACCAATGAGATGGATCATTGGGCATATGTGGGGCAGAAATGACATACATTTAATCACGATACGAAAGTGGCCCATTGAAATGATTTGATATTTTATGTTTTCGCTGAAAGGAAGAAATTACTTTTCAGCACTCATCTTTCCTTTTTATGGTTCAGATATTTTTGTCTTTCCACGCATCACTGAACGCCAACGCTGGAAAGATCCCCTATGCTTTTTCAAGTCTAAATACTTGGAAAAAATGGAGCTCGGTATCCCTTCTGCCCTATCCCTGTTTGCCAATACAAGGCTTTGAAGACTAGATGCCTTAAGAAAAGCATTGAAGAAATATAAATTCTCCTGTTTGTTTATACCGTGTTTCCCCGAAAGTAAGACCTCCCCGAAAATAAACCCTAGGTTGATTTTTGAGGGTGGGCCTAATATAAGCCCTACCTCAAAAATAAGCCCTAGTTTTGGGGCGAGGCACATGCCTAAAAATCAAGCTAGGGTGAAGAGGGGTGGTGGAGCTGCCCCACATGCCCCGTTGCAGCCAGGCCTCCCATTAATCAACACCTGCCTCGCCTCACTGGGTCACTTTTTCTGTGTGTCCCCCCCCCCCCGCATTTCACTCTCAGAGGCCTTCCAGAAAGGCCTCTGTAGCTGAGAATGGAGCCGTTGTGATTCCTCACCAGCCAGTGGATCCGGCAGCTGAGGAGGAGGAGGGGCCTGGAGTGACATCAGCGTCAGAGGAAGGCTCTGAGGAGCTCCCAGACTTACAGTTGGGACGAGGAGCCTGGCCCCTCTACTCGCGCTCAGGCTGAGACCCAGCTGTGCTGGGAGCCTGAATTGGACAGTGATGAATCACAGCTGGGAGATATCCAGGATGCGCGAAAGCGCAGGCAAGAGAAGCGAGTAGGACAGAGGAATGCACTGGGGCGGCTCCAAAGCCAAAGGAGAAGGCATTAGGAAGCCACGCCTTGGCGGAATTATAAAAGGGAAGGTGTGGGAGGTGCTGGTTGCCGAAGGCAACCGTTCGTGTTGAGGATCGAGTTTCCGTGGACTATGTTTGTTTGCCTTGGACATTGACTCAGGTCTGTGAGAATAAACGGGGTTGGTTTTTTCTTGCGGTTTCTGCCTGCTTGTTGGAAGAGGAGTTTCTCCTTGTGAGCATAACAAGGATTACCGTAGCCTGGGACAGAACAGGAGCTCCGGGTTCTCCCCCCGGCCTGCATTTCACCATTAGAGGCCTTCCAGAAAGGGCTCTGCAGCGGAGAACCAAGCTTTGGATTGAATCCGTAGCTCGATTCTCAGCTGCAGAGGCCTTTCCGGCCCCTCTTTTGAAGGCAAAAAATACAACACCGGGTCTTATTTTCGGGGAAACACGGTAATAATAAACTTTTGGGTCTCTTGTTTGTTTATTTTTAAACCAGGTAGCCATGCTCGTGTTGGCTTGGAAATTGGATGCTCAGAACATGGGTTATTTTACATTGCAAGAATGGCTAAAAGGAATGACATCCCTGCAGTAAGTATTATTTCTATTATCAAATGTGAAATAGCTCCAGTAGTGATCTATTGTCCTCTTGCAAAAATGAACCTCGCACGTCTATATAAAGTAAAAAAAACCAAAACCCTGTACTTTCTTAGCCAATAATTTTGTGAAGCTGCATATAATATCTAGGAGCTGTGGGGCAGTGATTAGAATTCAGTACTGCAGGTCCACTCTGCCCACTGCCAGGAGTTCGATCCTGACTGGTTCAAGGTTGACTCAGCCTTCCATCTTCTGAGGTGGGTAAAATGAGGACCCAGATTGTTGGGGGCGAGACGCTGACTCTGTAAACCGCTGAGAGAGAGGGCTGTAAAGCCGTATGAAGCGGTATATAAGTCTCAGTGCAAATTGCTACTGCTATCTATTTATGTGGTTTTATTTGCTGTTCATTCCACAAGACTTGAGGCAGATGACAAAGAATAAAAGAAATATATTCAATAAAATTGGGAGCATTCAGTATTAAAAAGCTTGCCTCAACAGGAATACTACGAGGCTTAAAACATCGTGGAACAACTGTTTTTTAAGATCAGGAGGCAGGTGGACAGCTACATAAAGAGTTATCAGGGAGCCCCGCCCTTGAAATTGGATCTGGAAATAGCCATAGCATACCGTGTTTCCCCGAAAATAAGATTGGGTCTTTTTTTTTTTATGCCTCCAAAAGAGGCACCATGTCTTATTTTGGGGGGATGTCTTTTATACTCCCCTCCGGCACTGACAGGCCCGTCCAGCCGGTCCACTTCTTCTGCGGCCGAAGGAACATCATCATTCTGCAGCTGCATTCCGGCCTGCATTTTGCAGTCAGGCCTTTTTGCAAGGCCTCTGCAGCCGAGTACTGAGCTATGGATTCAATCCATAGCTCAGTCCTCGGCTGCAGAGGTCTTGCAGAACCGAGCTACGGATTGAATCCATAGCTCGGTTCTCGGCGGCAATGGCCTTCCGGAAAAGCCTGTGACTGAGAAATGCAGGCCTGGCTGCAGAAGAGGCCTCAGAAGAAGAAGTGGGCCGGTGAGGAGAGGCCTAAGTGGGTGGGGCAGATCCATACCCCTACTTCCCACTCTAGCTTGATTTTTTAGTGTGTGTCTCGCCCCAAAACCTGGGCTTATTTTGGAGGGTAGGGCTTATATTAGCCCCCTCCCCAAATCAAGCTAGGCCTTACTTTCGGGGGAACACAGTAGATGTTATGTGGCTAAATCTACCATATGCCCCATTCTGGACACATTAAAACTTCTTGGTTGTCTTCAAAGGCAGTCCAATGTAGAATCAATTACTCTAAACATGAAGCAACAAGGATATGTATCACTGTACTCAGTGTTTCTCAACTGCCAGTAGATAGGTCTATAATGATTTGCCATGGCCGACTCGCTCCGGCCTACTTGTCATGGCCAACTCACTGCAGGACAACTTTCCACGGGACAATTCAACATGAAATTAATTCCTTTTGTTATTCATCAAAGCACTACAAAAGCTGGTAGTCCCAGGAACGATTTCCTCTGATAGGAGAGATAAAATCATTTTGGCGAAAACGTGGCCAAGAAAAATAAAAGGAACCAAGTGAATCCCACAGGGAGCTGTCCCGTGGCAAGTCGGCCGTGGCGAGTTAGCCATGGTGAATTGGCTGCAGTGAGTTGTTTCATTCTGAGCTGGGCAAAAGCCTTCTGGCCATTTTTATGTGCTGCCAGCAGGGATTGTGAGTTCGGGAAAACACCCAAATTGCGTCCGGGGGTGGTGGTGGGGGGTGCAGCTCTGTCTAACTAAAACGGGAACTCGGGCATTGTCCTCAATGAATGGTTTTTGTTTTGTTTTGACCTATCCAGGCCCTCACTACTTCCAGGGACTGGGTTTGGGCATAGTATTGCTGGCCCTGAAAATTATCAGCGTATTGAAAATGCTGCCCCTCAATCTGATCGATGGCCTTTCTCAGTGGTGTCAATGTTAAATGTTAAATAGCATGGGGGAGAGGATGGAGCCCTGTGGAAATTCTGTACTGGAGCAGCCACCCATTGTAGGGCTCCTTCTCGCACACGATGCCTGAGATTGCCTATTTATGAGGGAATGAAACCACTGCAAAACAGAACCAGAAAGCTTCATCCTTATAGAGCAGGGGTCTTCAAACTTGGCCCTTTTATGACTCGTGGACTTCAACTCCCAGAATTCCTTAGCCAGGCATGCTGGCGGAGGAATTCTGAGAGTTGAAGTCCACGAGTCATAAAAGGGCCAAGTCTGAAGACCCCCTACTCTATCTTTATTGCAGCTTTTTATTTTTAAATTGCTTTCATTATAATATTTATATATAGTTTTTATGTTTTATGTCTATTTGTGCACCATCCAGAGTCACTCTGTGAGGGAGACGGACAGTTTTTAAATATGACATATATAAATATAAATAAAAGGAGGTGAAACTATGATTAGCTCCTCTGATAACTACCTGATTAAAAGTAAAGCTCTATCCCAGGGGTCTTCAGTCTTGGCCCTTTTATGACTTGTGGACTTCAACTCCCAGAATTCCTGGCTGAGGAATTCTGGGAGCTGAAGTCCACAAGTCATAAAAGGGTCAAGTTTGAAGACCCCTGTTATAGACGCTCCAGAGGGAGGCCATCTACCAGCAAGATCACAAAATCCTTTGGATCTAGCAAGTTCAGGGAGACAGACATTCTTATAATCAATCTGTTGCCCCTGTGGAGATTATGAAGTGCTTATGAAGTGCAGGCAAATCAGAAAGTAGCAAAAGACTGATGATGATGACTTCCATTTCTGGATCATGCTACATTTACTTCAAAATAATGCCCAGGTCTTGCATCTGACTGGGTGTAAAGGCCAAGATTTCTTGGTATCTCATGATTGTCATGGGGGAAGTAAACACTTAGGCCCATCCAGACTACATGTCTCTCCACCCCAGGTCAGGGAGAGTCACCCTAATGCTAAAAGGCTGTGAGAATCTATTATTACGTTTCAAACAGTTCCCCTGCTCTCCGGCTCAGCATAACATGCAGACAATCTCTCCCTGTCATCTGTGTGGCAGCACTTCCAGTTGTAATCAGAGTCTCAAGAACAGTTAGCACCATGATCCGTCCCTGGTCCACTTGCCACTCTTTTCAGTTGCACTCACACATACACTGTCTGCCTCCAGAACCTATACCAGCTCATGATCACCCTTTCCCCTGAAATTGTTCTCCCACTAGGTCCCAAGTAATGGGGTTGAAGCTCCTCCCCTCCTGGGGGGGAACAATTTACTGTGCCCCACATGTCTTAGGACAGAGGCCCCCAACCTTTTGGGCACCAGGGACCGGTTCCGTGGGGAGAGGTTTTTCCCTGGACCGGAGGGCGTATGGTTTTGTGTGCTGCCTGCATCCAATGGATGGGGCTTTGCTTGTTTGTGCGGACCGGTTGCTGGCCTGCTGTGGCCCGGTACCAGTCCACGGACCGGAGGTTGGGGACCCCTGTCTTAGGAGACTGCCCTAGACCGTCCCCTTTCGTGTGTTGTAGATGGATTTCTCTCACACGCTAAGTGAAGAAATGCTGTTGTGTACTGTAATTTTGTGAGAGTTGTTTTGGGAAGACTCTTTTCATATTTTAAAAAACACGGGATTTACAACTTGTGGGGTGATTGTAGCAATCTGTCTCATAACGTTTAAATTACTAATCATGAAAATTATTAATTTTGCAGATGTGATACAACAGAGAAGCTAAGAAATTCTTTGGATTACTTGAGATCTTTATTAAACGAGCCTATGAATTTTAAGCTTATTTATAGATACGCGTTTGACTTCGCACGTGTGAGTAGCCTGAAATTCTGTTAAATCTTCCAGTACGTTATGGCCAAAATGAGTAAACCATGTGGGGTGCTTTATTTATCTCTCCTGAATTGTTCGCTTTAAAACATTTACTCTTGATTTGAAACTGAGGGAAGAAATTAACCTTGCTAACCTGAAGGGCAAAATACATTACATTCTGGTTTGAAGCATATTGTGAGGAGAAATTGAGGTTGTTGACCCATTGGAGAATACAACCTATCCAAACCCATGCATGTTGCCCCAGAGTCTTCCAAAATTTGTATTTTTAAAGTCATGTTAATAATACCATAGAACATTCAAGCCCAAAGATGGTTTTTGCTCTCAAACCAATCTTGTATGTCATGGCAGTGATGCCATTTTGAAACGTTTGCATACCTCCAATATTTAGTGGGACAGGAAGGAAAGTATTAAATATACAGTATGGGAGGTTGCCATATGGTTAGTATTTAACTTTCATTTAACACTTAAGTGTTAATTTTTTAAAGTGCTTTCTCTTGACTCTTCCTGCTTCTGAGATTGTGGATTCTACTCAGAGTCCTGAAGAGGCCTTCAGTCTAAAACATTATATATCCCTGATTTTTTGAAGTTGATTACTGTAACAATAAAAAGCTACTATTCCTTTGTATTATTGTAATCACAGAATGGGATACTAGTAACTTATGCAGATAGGAATATGTCTCTTAATATGTGAATAGGTCACTTCCTGGGGTTGGAAGTACCATATGTCTTCATACTGAAGATAGCATTAAATACCTGAACGGTCTAGAAAGAGTGCAGAGAAAAGCAACAAATATGACAAGGGGTCTTGGGGCTAAACTGTATGATGAATGGTTATGGGGACGAGGTACGTTTAATCTATTAAAGAGAAGGATTAGGTAGCTGTCTTCTAGTCCAGGGCTTTTCAACCTTTTCACCCATTGTACCACTTTTAGGATATGGCAATATCCGAGTACCACCAGTCGCCTAGCAAGGTGTCAAAAACTTCCTCCTGTCCGAGGTTTCCATTGTTATGAGCATTTCTGTTAAGGATTGGCAGCAGGGGTGGAGTGGGGGGGTGTTTGGTTTTTATTCCCCCCGTCTGCTGGGTGATTGCAGCAGGTTTTGGTCACTTCACATTATCCTGAGACACTGTGACCATCATAAATATGAATCAGTTGCCAAGCATCTGAATGTAAATCACAAGACCCTGGAGATGCTGCAACATTCTAGCTGATCGGCGCTTCTTCTGGGCTCAGCAGAAGCGCCAGGATCAGCGCTGAGCTCCAGCTGGAGCCTGGCACTGATCCTGGCGCTTCCACTGAGCCCTGACAGTCCCGAAGAAGTGCCGATCAGCTGGAAAGCGGCACTGATCCTGGCGTTTCCGCTGAGCCCTGACAGCCCTGCAGCTCCAGCCATCTCTCGCTCAGGCTTGTGGGGTGCTGCCACCGGTTCAGCTCATTCTGCTCCCCCGCTACCACTTTTCTAGGATGGTCGCGTACCACCTGCCAGGTGCCAATGTACCACAGGTGGTACCCGTACCACTGGTTGAAAAGCCCTGTTCTAGTACTTGAGGGGAGAGTCAACTTATTCTCCAGAGGACCAGAGGGCAGGACAAGAAGCAATGGATGGGAGCTTGTTAAAGAGAGATCTGGAACAAAGGAGGAATTTTCTGAATTAAGAACAATTCATTAAATCTTTAGGAACTCTAGGTGTAGCTTGACGGCACATGCATTGATGAAAACAGAAAGCAAGGGCATGCTAGATAAAGATAAAAGTTGGATTATACATTTTTTTGAGGATGAAATTGAAACGGCTCTTAGCTCAACTCAGCAATATTACAAGTATTTTTTTTGTTTCCTTCTGACAGGAAAAAGACCAGCGAAGCCTAGATATCAATACTGCCAAGTGTATGCTAGGACTCCTCTTAGGAAAAACATGGCCCCTTTTTCCATTATTTCATCAGTTCTTAGAGGTACAAGTAAAAAATAACTTTTTAAGAATTTTTTTTTAAATGCATTAAAGTTAAAAAGTGAGAATCGACAGTGAATTAGTTGAAAATGTGGCTACCTACAGTAATATATTTACACATTACAAAATGCAAATACTTCACATATGTTTCATTTTTGCTTGGAATTTTTGCTCGGAGTAATGTCCCTTCCCTTGAGGTGTGCTTGTTAAATTGTGTTTTTATTGTAACGGTGTCTTTTACGTCAATTATGGAATTATGCAAATGCAATGGATGTAAATGATGGACATCTACATCTAACAAGATGTCCCATTCTCTAAAGCGATCCCTTATATCAGACATGTCAAACTCGTGACGTCATGTGACGTCGCGCAACGCATCGGGACGGTTTTGCCATTGCCGGCAATGGGGTGGGCGCGGCTTCCGGATGATGCGTCCAGCCCGCGGGCCGGCAGTTTGACACCCCTGCCTTATATTGAGGCTGAACTAATACCCAATGTTATCTATTTGGGATTTCTGAAAAGGAAGAACAGGCCTACTTTGAAAAAGGCAAAGATTTCTTTAAAATTCCCCATGCAATGAATGTATCCCAGAAAAATGGATTCTTGATGATGGCTTCCTTTCATCTGATTTGGTCTTGTTTGGGGGGGGGAGATAATTTCTGGTGTGGTTGGTATCCTTAAATGTTATAGCTATAATATTTATATTATAGAGCAGTGGTGGTGAACCTATGGCACACGTGCCAGAGGGGGCACTCAAAGCCCTCTCTGTGGGCACACGCACCATCGCCCCAGCCCCACCTCCCCCTGCGGCCCCCTCCTCACCAGCAACCCCCTGGAGGAGAGTCATCCCCGGGCGCGGCCCGCACAGAACAGTGCAGCCAAGGACATGGTAGCCGGGCAGCAGGGACAAGACTCTGCCCTTGCACCCCGTTGTGTGCAGATGATGCTGCGGGACGCGGGCGGAGGGCATGGCTGTGCAGATGATGCTGCGGGGTGTGCGGGCGGAGGGCATGGCTGCGCAGATGATGCTGCGGGGCGCGGGTGGAGGGTGTGGCTGCTGGGCCGCCTGGGTGATCTGCTGCGGCAGGCCGTGGAGGCGGTGGGTGGCCCTGCGGGCAGGCAGGGCGAGGATGGTTTGGGGGCACTCAGTCTCTAAAAGGTTCGCCATCACTGTTACAGAGCATTACACCTTCTATTATATTTGCAAAATTAGCTTTTACATTTTTAGTTACCCAGTGACTTTGTTCAAAAAGCGTTTTGAATAACTGTTATTTTTGTTTTAAGTAGCAATCTAAGTACAAAGTTATCAACAAGGACCAATGGTGCAACGTTCTGGAATTCAGCCGATCCATTAATCTTGACCTCAGCAACTATGACGAAGATGGAGCATGTACGTATTGTCAGGAAAGACAAAAGAATCATTTCACATCGTAATCTGTGATCTCTATGCCTTTTTTTTTTAAAAAAAAAATGTTTTTTTGTAATTTTTTTTTTTTTAAAAAACATCTCCTTCTTTCTTTAAGGGCCAGTGTTGCTGGATGAATTTGTGGAGTGGTATAAAGAGAAACAAATGACATAGGAATTTTAACTATGCACAGCTGCTCAAGAGCTTTTGTTACTACAGTTAATGTCAACCATTAGCCATAAACTTCTCTTTGTATATAAAGCGCATGCTGCTTTTCCTGCACTGTATCCCATTTTCAGGGATTTTTTGGTGTTTGCTGTTTAACAGGCCAGCTCTGCTTGCTGTGTACCATTGTTATCTCCGAAGGCTGCTTTTTTGTCTACACTACAGATGGTGAATTTGCCAGCATCCTCACTGTGACTAATGTGAATATTGCTGTCTAAACTTTGTATATGTGTATAAAAAAAAAAAGCTTCATCTAGGAATGATTTCAGCAGGAAAGGTATTATAAAAATAATTATGTTGCATTCAAGTAACCATGTAACTTAATTTACTTGGTCTCGGGTATAGCATTTCCAGGAAAGCGATGGGGGGGGGGAGGTTTGCCTATGTAGGACTATTGCTAGTTAGTTAGTAATAGTTGTTTTAGGATGCCAGTTTTTGAAGGAAAATCTTGCAGTATGATTTCTTTGCCAGTGCCCAACTTCATTTTTATTTAATAAGAAATTATTGGCTACCTTTTTAATTGAATCTCTTTAACAAATTGTTACAGCTTGAACAGAGTTGTACATGCCATAGTAACTTCCATTTGGTGATCATGCTGATTTCCTAAGAGTCAGATGCTGTAGTTTGCGAAGAGGTACAGGCTATCTGATTAAACATCTGATTAAAAAGGGTTTTAGACTTGTAACGTGGCACATTCTTTTATTTTACTGTTGTTCTTGTTCCCAGAGTGTGTTGATGATGGGGATAAAGACAATGAAGTCTTGTTTCAAAACACAGCCTAAATGTACGAATATATTTCAGAGACTGATATCAAAGCTTAGCCTGGAAACTCGGCATGGCTACCTTTATTCCAGGGATTGAATTTCCAAGGCAAAATGCCAATTACGAGCAACATCTACTCTAAGCAGCAGCATCACTATTTATTTGGGATCATTTTATCTGTTTGGACTGGAAAGTCCAAAGAAGTAGACGAACGAAGTAACTTCCTGTGTCACCTTTTCACCAGTCTTCATTATACAGCTCAATGTACATTTCTATACAAAATTTTACTAAGGTAGCTGTAGACTTATTGAAAACGCATTCAAAAATCCACTGGTCTTTTGTCCAATCAACCGAGAGTTCATTGTGAAATTTTCAATAAAACATGAGCTTGCCTTTTCTTTTACAGAAAGCTAAAGCTACATGAACATTCGGAATTTAGGAATGTAGTTTAAGCTTCAATAACAAATTAGTACAAACCACTTTTTTATTTTCAAAGCACTGAGGGTATTTGTAAAAAAAAACATGTATAGTAGCAACGCATACAGCCTCGTTAGGACTGGATAGTCCTAAACCAAGGGTAGTCAACCTTGGCTCTTTTATGACTCGTGGACTTCAACTCCCAGAATTCCTGAGCCAGCATGGCTGGCTCAGGAATTCTGGGAGTTGAAGTCCACGAGTCATAAAAGAGCCAAGGTTGACGACCCCTGTTCTAAACAAACAAAATAAGAAAAATAAAGGACCGGAATCCAAAGAGATCTACATACAAATGTGATTCTGCCCTTAACATGAGCTGTGGGAATGGAGTTTTTCTTTTTTGATGCCTTCATGAGCTTGGGAAGGCTTGGGAGCAGGGATTGAATGGGGCAGAGCTACGCAAGCTGTTGACCAAGTAGTAAGAGTGGAAAGATCAAACGGAGGCAGTTACAATACTTTTACACAGGCTATCAGTTCTGTTTGTCCAGAGTAGAGTTGGAAGTTGGCTGTGCAGTTCCCTTCAGCCAGTCTCTGTTGAGAACAGGCAGGGAACACCATGAGCCAGTGCTTGCTTCCTTCAATACCTCCTGACTTACATTCCCATATTATTTAGTATAGCCATAATCAAAACCTTACAACTGCCCAACTGGGAAGATACAAATACTGGATGGATTACAGGCTAATTTGGTTGAGACATAAAAAGGACTTTCAAGTAACAAAGGTAACAGCCAAAGAGCTTTATGAGATCTAGTTTTTATAAAGGGAAGTATAAGGTTAAGAAACTTGTGTCTAGTTCAGGGGTAGGCCACCTTGGCTCTTTTATGACTCGTGGACTTCAACTCCCAGAATTCCTGAGCCAGCTTTGCTGAGGGGAAAGAGAGAGGTTTCCAAGCTGAGCCACACTGGCTCAGGAATTCTGGGAGTTGAAGTCCACGAGTCATAAAAGAGCCAAGGTTGCCTACCCCTGGTCTAGTTCATTCTTGGGACTGATTCTCACCTTTTTCTATTTGCATGTACACATAGCAAAAAGTACCTGATCAAGTTGTATAGAAAGCAAGAGAGGACACACTTCAAAATTGTACTGTCTTCCATTTAAAAATGAAGCAGCAATTGGGTCCAGAAATCACTGTTAAACACGGCCTGTTAAAGGGCAGAAGCAACTGGCTGCAGTCTGTTCTCACCTCTTTATGGCTTCTATTACAAAGTTGATCAAGAGACTTACGAATCTTATCTTTTGTTCTGAACAATCATGCACCACCACAAAGAGAATTGGCCTTGCCTGTAAAAGCAGGCTCATCTAAAACATATTTTATTAAGGACACTGTGCTCACAACTTGTGTGATACACAGAGGGAAATGAGGAAAAGGTCCACTTGGTATACGGATCAGAATGGTATTTTGAATTTTTGAAATTCTGACCTACCTATTTAAGCAATCATGCTCAGAATGGCACCGATTGGGGGAAAATGGCATTTTCTGGAAAACTGTTATGTAATGCTGTCAGAGTAAAGTTAATCAAAGTTGTTCATTTTTTTAATTCATTTTGAATTTTTTGGCATTTTTAAAATAGTATGATTGATTTTTTGTTGTTGTTAAAGGAAAAAAGGCCGTACACTGAATTGGTTAAAGCTGAAAATATCTTTTCTACAGAAATGCTAGCAAGATGTGTATGCATTATTCTAATGTGACATTCTTAAAAGATAAGCTTTTTAAATGACCAAGTGAATAAATATACATGAATGGGCAAATAGCCCATAATAAGCAGACCGTCTATATTGTCCAGTACCAAAGACTGACGAATCTTTTATGCTTTTATCTTTCAGAATCAGAAATGGTATTATCAATTCTAATACCTACTGTTATTTTCACCATTTTCTTTTTGGGGGGTCAGGTCAGATAAATTCAAATTGAATACTAAAAATGTAACCATCTGAAAGATTTTTGGTTTGTACAAACCAAACGATCTGTGCTTTTTGTAAATGTGAGGAACAAAATTGTGAAAGCGTTCCATAATTTACCATAGTATAAATTTACATAAAGCATTTAATTGAACGTGAATAGTTTCCTGCTTTCCTTTTTAAACAATTCATATTAGTCTCAGGCTGAGACTGTGCAGATGCATTTTACTACGTAAAGACATAGTTTTAATTCTATGCTTGTAGTTAAATTTTCTCCTACGCTTCAAGTATTGGCAACTTTTCCCCCTCTATTGCTTTTTAGAGAAACCAGCATATAATAATAATGTTGAATTCAATAATGGGAGAACTTCTAACAATACTTAAATATTTGGTAATATTTAATTAGCAATACTTAAATGCTTCATAATTGATAATAAATATTTGGTTTGTGCCTGAGTAAACGGTGTTAAATATCTACTGACAGCCTTAAACTTTGTCCTTCTCACATGGTTGTGTAAATGCATAAGGTTACTTCACTGATTTACACTGACTTTCTGGGAAACTAAAAAAAATGGGTTTTGTAACACCCTGCTGTGACAGAAACAGTTTACCTGCTTTTTTTGTCTTAAGTTTCCATACAGCATACCGTAAGCGCGCACTTTGCCTTACTGCAGCTGTGTCAGCTTCTTGGAATTTGGTACACTGTAGTTGTGTACAAATCTACTATCTCCCTAATAAAAACCTGATTCAGTCTTGATAACATGCATTAAAAAAAAAATTCTAGAGCAGCATTTTTGAAACTTGGCAACTGTGAAGTCCTGCCGTGTGGACTTCAGTTCCCAGAATTCCTCAGCCACTTCCAGGAGTCGAAGCTCACACATCTTAAACCTTTCAAAGTCTGAAAAAACACTGCTCTAGAGCAGGGGTAGGCAACCTTGGCTCTTTTATGACTCGTGGACTTCAACTCCCAGAATTCCTGAGCCAGTATGGCTCAGCTTGGAAACCTCTCCCTTTCCCCTCAGCATGGCTGGCTCAGGAATTCTGGGAGTTGAAGTCCACAAGTCGTAAAAGAGCCAAGGTTGTCTACCCCTGCTCTAGAGGTATGTATGTTGTGCCTACCGCTGTCTGCACCAGCCCATTTTGCCCAGGGCAGGGGTAGGCAACCTTGGCTCTTTTATGATTTGTGGACTTCAATTCCCAGAATTCCTGAGCCAGCCACGCTGAGGGGAAAGGGAGAGGTTTCCAAGCTGAGCCATGCTGGCTCAGGTATTCTGGGAGTTGAAGTCCTCGAGTCATAAAAGAGCCAAGGTTGCCTATTCCTGGCCCAAGGAGAGAGCAGGAATTAGTCAATCCCAAAGTAGCTATAGGATGTTATTTGTTCTCATTTGAAGATCACAGACGAAGTCTGCTTCATCTTCCCAATGCTTTTGATTCATGCCGAGTAGTGTTTCAGCAGCTACATAACAGACCAGTGTTATTAGACAGGACATGGGGCAATTAGAAGAGTTACGTACATCCCCATGTATTATAACTTTGGGGACAATTCAGAGTTTAAAAAAAACAACAGATCAATTTACATCGTTTATTTAAATGGCAATTTTACAAATGCACACCAGAACTTCCTTTGGCACTTGGAAACCCGAACCTCCTAGTGATAACGATGAAATCTGAGGCATAAATGCAGTCTTTAAAAACCCTGCTTTAAAACATACAGTGTAGCACAGTTTAACAAATATTCCATCTTATATATAAATTATTAGTAGCAAACTTCAAATAAGAACAGCACAGTAGAAAAATAAATGGGGTACGTGATGATCGTTCAGTTTGATTTTTAACTGAATATTATTTAATTATTAAATACCATTGATATTATCTAAAAGGATTCTGAATTTTGTTCTGTTACCTATTATGTGCCTAGAGATGGTTTGAATAATAAAGACCGGAAGCTTTAAGTTAATTGGAATATTAACTGTTATTCTAAGCTGTCAGTGTAACACTGCAAAACAGCCAAAATATTCCTCTACAATATGCTCCAAGAGTTAAAATGAATGGTAGCAATAAGTACAATAATGTTTTAATGTCAATATTTCATTTAAAAAAATCTGATCTCGTTAATGCCTGCCCCATATACTCCCCTGAAAGCCTGAGGAAGAATTTATCGTACAAGGCTGTATAGTGCTCCAGATGAAATTTAGAAGAAACACCTCAGAACATATAGAACAGGGGTGTGAAAACAGCTGTATCTGTTTCCCAGTTTGCTCAGCTGCAATGTGGAAACTTTGGGGGAGACTTTTACAATTGCCTAAATCTGGGAACAGACACAATTGCTTTAATGAGACTCGGGACAGGTGCGGTGTTTACACTCTTCATTCTGAAATGCTGCACATTCCTATTCATCTAGTCTTCACAACAGTATCCGTACCCTGCCGAGAACATTTTCAATACACGTACGGGCTTTTTATTAAAACTGCACACTAGTTTACTAAGGAGCTTATGAGTCACTGCGACTACGAATCCAGTATTCGATATTAGAAACTGGCGCAGCAAACCAGTCACTTAATTCTTCCTATGTAAACATCAGGGACCCAAAAGTTGAAGCCATATGACCCAAAAAATAATAATAAATAAAATCAAAAAGGTGCATTATTCTAATCAAAAGCAAACCTTAACGTGTTTAGTACGTATATCCGGTGATTTTTGATAGCCCGTTGCTGAACTAAGTGTTCCAAACATTTCGTAGTCCTCGACTTACAACTGTTCATTTAGTGACCGTTCAAAGTTACAACAGCACTGAAAAAAAAGGGACTTATGACCATTTTTTAATGACCGCTGCAGAATCCCCGTGGTCACGGGGATCAATATTTGGACGCTTGACAACTGATTCATATTTATGACGGTTGCAGTGTCCCCTGTTGTGATATGACAAGCAACATCAAATGGGAAGCCAGATTCACTTAACAGCCGTTGTGACTAATTTAACAACTGTGGCGATTCATTTAACAACGATGGCAAGAAAGGCCGTAAAATGGGGCAAAGTTCATTTAGCAACTGTTTCTTAGCAATAGAAAATTTGGGCTCAATTGTGGTCATAAGTCGAGGACTATCTGTACTCCTATTTAAAAACGCCCTTGTAAGGAAAAATCATTATCTACATGTAGAATATGTTAATATGTAATTAGGAATAATTAAATAGAAAATGAGATGCCCAATATCAAATATTAGACTTCGTCAAAGCAGTTGCCAAAGCCTAGTGCAGGGGTAGGCAACCTTGGCTTTTTTATGACTCTGGACTTCAACTCCCAGAATTCCTGAGCCAGCATGGCTCAGCTGGGAAACTCTCTCTTTCCCCTCAGCATGGCTGGCTCAGGAATTCTGGGAGTTGAAGTCCACGAGTCATAAAAGAGCCAAGGTTGCCTACCCCTGGCCTAGTGGCAGATTCTTGTTAAACTTTTTCTTGTTAACATTGTTAAACTTAACATTTCATTGTGACATTAAAGCAGTGTTTCTTAACCTTGGCAACTTTCAGATGTCTGGACTTCAACTCCCAGAATTCTCCAGCCAGTTGAGAAAACCTGCATTAAAGCATATACAGTCCATAACAAAGTACTCCACCAAATAACATTTTTTTCATATGTTATGAAATGAGTTAATCGTGGAACAGTAAACTTGCATTTAAAATGTTTTGCAAAACTATCTCAACACCATCTTTTAATAGCCTTAAAGATCGTGAGGTTTGCAATTTTTCGGCTCTTCATATTATCTACTTTTAGCCTCTGAGATGCCTTTGAATACTTCCACAAATAAAAATGATTGCAAACCACAGAACAGAAGCACCTCTAGTGTGATGTGGATTTGAGGATTTGTTTATTTTTTTTTATTTTATCAGTTGTCATACCAATTTCTGTAACTTTTATGAAATATTTAAACAGAATGTAGCGTTAAGGCATTAGATGAGGACTGAGGGACCAATAGAACTGAACATTAATTCAAGTGCTTGCACAACATTGGAATACTATTATCTCTTCCCTACATGGCATGCAAGTATATACCAACAGTATTCTAATTCAAATTAACTCTAAAATCAAGTTTAAAAAAAAACCGGATTTCAAAACAACACTACTACAATTTCTATTCAGTGCTGCTCTTCTGGAGCAGCCCAGCAGGGTGGCTTACAGTTAAATTAGGCTTAAATCAAACTACAACAGTGGAACATAGCAAATGTATTTGCCTGTGTTTATTTTTGTTTTATTTAAGAAAATTTATATGACTGCCTGCCCACTCTGTGATTCTGGGTGGATTACAAAAAATAAACCGGCGTTAGCTAGTGATTTCAATCCAGAGCTGCACGGCGGAATAACAACAGGGCCACAGAGCAAAGAATCGGGCAGCGATTCGCTCACAAGACTAAATTCCAGGCCACAAAATATGTGAGGCTATAAATTAAACATTCTCTGTGAAGTCTTGTTAAAACTCCAAACTGCAAATTGTCCAGCTGCATCGTTCTATTGCGCCACGCCTTTCAATTTATCGCTTCTCCTCTGATGCAGGCAGACTACAATTTATTTATACTATTACCCTTAGCAACTTCTCCCTTCAAGTACCATTCAGGCATTGGAAAGTTTAGCAGCAAATGCAGCATCCAATTTCCATGTGGATATAATCGGTTCCAAATGACTGTATCTTCAAATACGTGGACAAAAGTACCGAAGTCTAGATATCTATTCATTACCTTACCAGTAACTTTCAACGCATTCTCAACGCATATAAATTGATTTGAGAAAAGGAATCTTTAATATTTAACAAAATGTAGTAAACAAGACTATGTTTTTTTCTACCATTTGTACAACTTAATAGAAACAAGAGATCTGACCCGCTACAGCAGGGGTAGGCCACCTTGGCTCTTTTATGACTCGTGGACTTCAACTCCCAGAATTCCTGAGCCAGCCATGCTGAGGGGAAAAGGAGAGGTTTCCAAGCTGAGCCATGCTGGCTCAGGAATTCTGGGAGTTGAAGTCCACGAGTCATAAAAGAGCCAAGGTTGCCTACCCCTGCCCTACAGAAATGCATATATAGATACAGTATGAATACTTGAATTCTACTGCTTACTACAATGTCCTGCTATATTTGAGATAACAATAGCTTTGGTCTAGCAGTTTTAAATATTCCACATCCCTTAGAAGGATCAGTGCCTTGATGCAGCCCAACTGCTTGTGTACCTAGCTATATTAGCGTATAGTCAAAAGTTGCAGATGATGCTCTGTGACTAGCTTCTCATTAGTGACCTTCCATTGATAATATCCCATTTCAAAATTGAAGCTGGGGATGGAAAGACTGAGTGAAGAAGGACACAACATAAGCAGAGAAGATACGTTCAAACCGCTCAATCTCAATTAGCAATAAAGCAGAATTTTATTTGCAGTCAACCAATAAATTTCATGCCCTCTCGCAAGGCAGACTTAAATGTTTTTTTAATTTTGTTCAGTTTTCAAGGGACCTCTGCCAGAGGCATTTTCAAATGCCACGCCTAAGAAACTGATAAACCAAAAGTCTTAAAAAACATTTTAAACTGTGGGATATTTTCCAAAATGAACCAACGGCTGTTTGGGCAGAAGCAGAGGTTGGTAATCCTATCGTGAGTTTTGCCAAACTCAAATTATTCAAAGTACTACTTGGAAAAAAATTGATTTTTTAATTTAGTAGGAAAAGAGAATAATAGCAATAGCACTTAGACTTACATATTTCGCTGCCCTCTAAGCGGTTTACATAGTCAGCCTCTTTCCTCCAACAATCTGAGTCCTCATTTTACCGACCTCGGAAGGATGGAAGGCTGAGTCAACCTTGAGCCGGTGAGACTCGAACTGCTGGCAGTTGGCAGTCAGCAGAATTAGTCTGCAGCACTGCATTCTAACCACCAGGGTTCTGATAGTCCAACAACCTATAGCTGCTCAATCATAGACATAGACTCTTTTTCCATAATCAAGTTTCCAGAAGGATTTGAATTCTCCAGCCAAAATTAGAACATGGAATTCAATACATATAAATTTCAAAGAACAGATGCCTGAATTATAGTGAGACCAAATAAGGGTCTAAGTATAATGTCTGAGAAATACACACTTGCAAAGATAAAAAGTACCAGAAACAAAAATGAATTACGTATTAATGTTGCAGGAGTCTTTGCCAACAGCTCTAGGGGGCCATATTAACACATCAGCTGAAGCATGCTGCCCTTGGCAAACCCCAAAACAATTCTTCCAAGTTATTTTTGAAACACACACAGGCTTATTTGGCCATTTTAATTCAACAATACCTCGAAGTACATTCTGCACTTCTGTTTAACTGCCTTCTACCCAGCAAGGAAGACGATTGGCCTAATCAACAATGCTACCTGTGGAGATCTGTGCAGGAGAAGTGCTTCCATTTAATATTTCTACAAATAACTAAAAACATCCTCGCAAACATGCAGTGGCTTGAACTTAAATATAGTGATTTTTCTTTTCCACAGTACCCACGTTCGCCTCTAATACGTATTGCCACATGGGTTCGTGGCGGTTTGACAACCCATATTGTGGCTCTTGACTGGAATACGGAATAAGGTCCCATCAGAACATACGCAAAGTTTGTAACGTTCCCAGTCACCATTGTTAAATTGTTCCTTGTGAGAAGAATTTGGCAGTCGGGATACGTTGATCATCATACTTCCATTCAGGATAATGGAGTTGTCCTAGGAAAGGAATATGTTGAAATCAATAAACATGTAACTATCTTCATAGTCGATACTTTAGAACAGAGGTCCCCAACGTTTTGGACACCAGGGACCGGTTACGTGGAGAGAGGTTTTTCCACGGACCAGAGCGGGCATGGTTTTGTGTGCTGCCTACATCCTGTGGATGGGGCTTTGCTTGTTTGTGTGGACCGGCTGCTGGCATGCCACGGCCTGGTACTGGTCCTCATTTGTGGTCATAAAGTCGAGGAACACCTGTATAAAGATAGGCATATCTCCAACTTTTCTTTATTGGAAGTGTTCAAGTGGAAGCAACCATCTGGGGTGACTAACTTGGACTCCTAAAAATTGAAGAGTTCGGATTTCATATTCTAAAGGGGACAATCCAATGTTACGTTTGTCTGAAATCATCGTACCTTATTTTATACATGTTCCTTCCCTCTCTGTGATTTTATATTTGCTGTGTTTCCCCGAAAATAAAACCCAACTGGAAAATAAGCCCCAGCGTGATTTTTCAGGATGTTCGTAATATAAGCCCTACCCCAAAAATAAGCCCCAGTTAAGATGGTCAGCCAGACAGATGCATTTAGTACCGTATTTCCCCCCCTCCCAAATAAGATCTAACTGGAAAATAAACTCTAATGTAGGGTAGGCAACCTTGGCTCTTTTATGACTTGTGGACTTCAACTCCCAGAATTCCTGAGCCAGCATGGCTCAGATTGGAAACCTCTCCTTTTCCTCTCAGCATGGCTGGCTCAGGAATTCTGGGAGTTGAAGTCCACGAGTCATAAAAGAGCCAAGGTTGCCTACCCCTGCCCTAAGGTGTCTTTTGGAGCAAAGATTAATATAAGACCCGGTCTTATTTTGGGGAAAACACGGTACCTGCATTGCACTCCGAGTATTGAGCTTACTTACAGCTACATTACAGGTATAACTTGACTTATTTATTTATTTATTTATTTATTATTTAGATTTATATCCCGCCCTTCTCCTCGTAGGACTCAGGGCGGCTGACAATCAATTAAAATACATAAATAACAATACAGGTTTAAAATTAATTTAAAAGAAATATTAGAGATTGTCCAATTTAAAATATTGATTAAAACCCCTCTAAAAATTACCCTAGGCCAGTCCTGCGAGCTGGAATAACCAAGTCTTGAGGGCGCGGCGAAAGGAAGGGAGCTCAGGGATAACCCTGATCTCTGGGGGCAGTTCATTCCAGAGGGTGGGAGCTCCCACAGAGAAGGCCCTCCCCCTTGGGGTCGCCAGCCGGCACTGTCTGGCCAACGGCACCCTGAGGAGACCCACTCTATGGGAGCGTACAGGTCGATGGGAGGTAATCTGCGGCAGGAGGCGGTCCATTTGTTTAGTGATTGTTCAACATTACAATGGCACTGTAAAAATGGACTTAAGGCCAGTCGTCACCTTTATGATTGCAGCATCCCCATGATCAAATCCAGGTGTTTGGCAACCAGCATGTACTTGTGACCACTGCAGCATCCTGGGGCCGTGGGATGGCCATTTGTGACCTTCCCAACGAGCTTCTGACGAGCAAAGTCAATGGGAGATTCACTGAAGAACCACATGATTCAGTTAAAAACTACAGTGATTCTCTTAACCGTGGCAAAAAAAAAAAAAAAGGTTGTAAAATCGGGCGCAACTCCCATAACAACTTCGTTGCTTAGCAATGGAAATTCTGGTCCCAAATGTATCATAAACCGAGGACTATTTATACAACAGAAATTCCTTGTTTAACTGCAGTGGAATTGTGCTTTATGCTTTAAAATAAACTTCACCAATATTGTCTACACGTTAAAGCACACACACACACAAAAACTTAGTTTTAAAAAAAAGGGAAACTGTCCACTCTTTTTCGTAGTCCCCTGTTCATGTACATAACAAAAGTTGTGATGGCGGGCCTGCAGTGAAACTGCACTCGGGGTCTTCCACAGCACTGTGCCTCGTTCCTGGTTTTCCCTGTTGTCATTTCAGTGGTTACAACAGCAAAATTGGATGGATTTCTCTTCATATAGTGGGCAAAATACAGGTAGTCCTTACAGTTCGTTTAGGGACTGAAGTTACAACGGCCCTGAAAAAAAGTGACTTATGACTGTTTTTCACACTTACAACCGTTGCAGCCCCCCCGTGGTCACATGATCAAAATTTGGACGCTTGGCAACTGACTCGTATTTATGACGGTTGCAGTGTCCCAGGTTCATGTGACCATTTTTTGTGACCTTCTGACAAGCAAAATCAATAGGAAAACCAGATTCACTTAATCTTGTTACTAATTTTAACAACGGCAGTGGTTGCTTTAACAAATGTGGCAAGAAAAGTCGTAAAATGGGACAAAGCTTACTTAAATTTCTCACTTAGCAACATAAAATCTGGGCCCAGTTGTGGTTGTTAAGTCGAGGAATACCTGTATACTTTTTGGCCACAGAGCATGAAGCTCTTTCTGCTGCAAACAGGGACATCATAGGATGCTTTTTTTTTTTTTTAGTTTTTGTTAAACTTTAACAACTTATTCTGATCATTACTGTAAGCAGGAACAAACACAAGTTTTGAACGAAACCTTTTCAGATGTGAACCATCTCATTCTGAGTGTTTGGTAACCGGTGCTGAATGTAAAACAGGAGTGTGCCCCTGTTAACTTTCAGCCTTTGTGGAAGTTTTTTTGAAACGCTCAAAACATTTCCAAAATGAGGAGTAACTTGTCTGAACCACTCAAAACAAAAGGTGGTTCAGAATATTTCAGGAATTCAAGAAAGATTCATTCCATGATATTGTTTGCACATTGCTAGTTCTAAACTCCCATGTGTTTTGAAAAAATGGGGTTGATGCATCATTTGCTAGCTGTGAAATGTTGCAGTTACAATACATCAAAGGATGACATGTTGGAAAATCTCGGCTTAAACCCCTGACATACTTCTCTTTTGATGGAGGGTTGAACCCACTTCATTATTGCCACTACAGAACTGAACTTGCTTTACGTACCTTAGCAGGAGGGCAATAATTAATGTAGAAACTACAACTGGTTTTGCTATAGTTTTAAGGTAATAACAATATTTTGATTAAAAAAGTTTTCTTTTAATGGAACTGGATGATTGCTTTTATTTGCACTTAGAACGGGACACTGTCTTTTTATTCTTCTGCAAAGGCACTTTGTTGTTGTTAGTTGCGAAGTCGTGTCCGACCCATCGCGACCCCATGGACAACATTCCTCCAGGCCTTCCTGTCCTCTACCATCTTCTGGAGTCCATTTAAGCTCACTCCTACTGCTTCAGTGACTCCATCCAGCCACCTCATTCTCTGTCGTCCCCTTCTTCTATTGCCCTCAATCTTTCCCAGCATTAGGCTCTTCTCCAGCAGGTCCTTCCTTCTCATTAGGTGGCCAAAGTACTTGAGTTTCAACTTCAGGATCTGGCCTTCTAAAGAGCAGTCGGGGTTGATCTCCTCTAGGACTGACCGGTTTGATCGCCTTGCAGTCCAGGGGACTCGCAGGAGTCTTCTCCAGCACCATAGTTCAAAGGCCTCAATTATTTTGGGCTCAGCCTTTCTTATGGTCCAACTTTCACAGCCATACATTGCAACTGGGAAAACCATGGCCTTGACTAAACGCACTTTTGTTGGCAGGGTGATGTCTCTGCAAAGGCACTACTTAGTTTTAATATTCAAATATCCTATATTCGCTTCAAAACATAGCTACAAGTGTATGAGTGCGCATAATTTATTCAGGAATTCAACAGAGCATTTTGTGTATGAGCTAGAAAGTGTTTATGCACGAAACAGATTTAAAGGCCATTTGAAAGATTAAAAATATAGTGTGTGTGTGTGTGTGTGTGTGTGTGTGTGTGCATGCAAGTTTAAATTCACAAATGACAAAGCTGAACCAAATGACATTCCTTTAGTCGAGTGACTACATTACAAAATAGCTGAAAATCCTGGAATTACTTACTGCTTTCAGTTCCAAGTTGCGTCCCATGGAAAACTTAATAGTTTTGCCCGTAATAAACACTCCTTCATTTCCACGGACAATAGCACGCCCATCAACTTTTATATTGAGATCACTGGTGGCATTGCTTGTAATCTAAGAAAAGAAAAAAAAAAGAGCATGGCTATACAATGTGTTTACTAAACTAGTTATCAAATTTATAAAAATATCAAAATATCTTGCGTAAAAGACGCCTTGTGCTTAAACAGGGCTATTCACTATTTGCACTTTGATTATAACACATAAATAACTGCTTAGGATTAGCAGATCTGGATTTAAAAAATGCTCCCAGATCTGAATTTTAAAATTCTAGATTTCTATCTTTATTTGTCTGTTGTCTCATTTGGACTCTTGTTACCGAAAAACTTAGTAGCTTTATGTGAACCAGGGTTCTTCAAACTTGGCAACTTTAAGACTTGTGGACTTCAAGCTGGCTCAGGAATTCTGGGAGTTGAAGTCCACGAGTCATAAAAGAGCCAAGGTTACCTACCCCTGCTCTAACCCGTGGTTTAAATGTACTATCATTCCAAGGTCTTTCTGTTAAGTATGCTTAACTAGGTACATCTTAGTTATCATTTGTTTGTTTATGCCAGTGGTTCTCAACCTTTTTAATGCCGCGACCCCCAACCGGTCGTAAGTCGAGGACTAAACCGGTCGTAAGTCGAGGACTACCCAACCGGTCGTAAGTTGAGTACTTTCCCTGCCTGGGAGCGCCGCGCATGCGTGGTTCTGCCCCCTGCGCCGGCCGAGGCGTAGCTGGCAAGTGGCAGAGACGGAGTAGGCCGACCACCAGCTGGCCCAGCCCAAGGGAGGTAAGGCACCCGCCGGAAAAAGGGAAAAAAATGGCGGACAGCCTTGCTTGGCGACCCCCGTGAAATGGTCGATCGACCCCAAATGGGGTCGCGACCCATAGGTTGAGAACCGCTGGTTTATGCTATGTGCAGAGTACGAGACCCTACTTTTGCAAATTTATATGAATCTCAATAAAAATATAAATAAAATTATGAATTTCAGATGTCATTATTTTTTTAAAAAACCAAACAAACATATTACATATGTTTGCGGTTGGAAATAAACCAAATATAATCCATACCCTTTCTGTAGATGCTTTTTGCACATTTAAAATTTTTACGCCACTTGGCAAATGAAACTCATGGGTATTGTAGTCAGTGCTAAACAAAGTGTTTTGAGTTCGTGGGTCAACAAATTCCATTCCGATATCACTGGTGATTGAAGTTTTGTTTTTCTCCACGCTAAGTTTCGTTTCCCCCTGCTGAAATACAATCTTTAAAAAAAGAAAAGAAAGAGGGCGCTGAATTTAATAACAGAGAATTTATTATGCTTAAATTATTAATTGGTAGGGCTTTTTCATCTGAATGAGCAATTTATCAACTTACTTTAAAAAGGTATAAATGCGAGACAGTATCCAACAAATCGCAGTGAACAAAACAATTAATAAAGAAAACTGCAATATCCAGCATCATAGAAATAAAAAGAAAGAATTTCACTAACTAGCAAAGCAAGCAAATGACCAATAACAAAAACCCAGATTTTTGATTTATCAGAGATGAATAGAATGAGCTGGAAGGGACCTTGGAGGTCTTCTAGTCCAGCCCTCTGCTCAAGCAGGAGAACCTATACCAGGGGTAGGCAACCTTGGCTCTTTTATGACTCGTGGACTTCAACTCCCAGAATTCCTGAGCCAGCATGGCTCACCTTGGAAACCTCTCCCTTCCCCTCAGCATGGCTGGCTCAGGAATTCTGGGAGTTGAAGTCCACGAGTCATAAAAGAGCCAAGGTTGCCTACCTGACCTATATCATTTCAGACAAGTGACTGTCTCTAGCCACTTCTTAAAAATCTCCAGTGATGGAGCGCCCACGATTTCTGGGGGCAAGCTGTTCCACTGGTTAATTGCCCTCACTGTCAGGAAATTTCTCCTTAATTCCAGGTTACTTCTCTCTTTGTTCAGTTTCCAACCATTGTTTCTTGTCCTGGCCTCTGGTGCTTTGGACAATAANATTTCAGACAAGTGACTGTCTCTAGCCACTTCTTAAAAATCTCCAGTGATGGAGCGCCCACGATTTCTGGGGGCAAGCTGTTCCACTGGTTAATTGCCCTCACTGTCAGGAAATTTCTCCTTAATTCCAGGTTACTTCTCTCTTTGTTCAGTTTCCAACCATTGTTTCTTGTCCTGGCCTCTGGTGCTTTGGACAATAACGTGATAGTAGCAGTATAAGGGTCTCCTGAGGGGAGGGTATGCCACAAGAATATTGATTAAGAAGATTTTCCTCTTGGTTAGATTCCAGCCATTCAGCAAGATAATATGAAGCCAAACCTCAGATACTGAACATCATATGCCAGGAGGCAGACACTTACTGGCTGATTTTCTCCCACAATCACCAAATCTTCGTTCCGTCGACCTCCTACTGTGCTCTTATACAGTGGATGTATAATCCCCATATCAGAATCTTGTTTAAACCGCAGTAATCCGCTATCGTGAAATTCCATGCTATCACAGCCATTGGGTCCAATGCGAATTACGGTCCAAATTATGAAGGTGATCTAAAAAAAAAAAAGTAAACATTGCTTGTTACGGTTCTGAAAGATTAATTTTGGTTGGAAAACCAATTCACCTCTGAGCCATTTTGGCCTTCTCAAAAACTTTTGAGAAATGTTTGTGCTACAGCAAGCTTGAATGATGTCCATGAAAGGCAGCTGCCTATAGCAGTATAGGAAACAATGTCCTCTACTTATAACCATTCGTTTAGTGGCCAGTGTTACAAGGGCACTGAAAAAAGTGACTTATGATCATTTTACACACTTATGAACATTGCAGCGCCCCCCTGTGGTCAGGTAATCAAGTTCGGGATGCTTGATAACTGGCCTGTATTTATGACGGTCCCGGAGTCATGTGATTACTTTTTGCGACCTTCTGATAAGCAAAATCAAGGGGAAAGCCAGATTCACTTAACAACCGTGTTACTAACTTAACAACTGCAGTGGTTCACTTAAGAATTGTGTCAAGAAAAGTCATAAAATGGGGCAAAATTCATTTAATAGCTGTCTCGCTTAGCAACAGAAATTTTGGGCTCAATTGTGGTCATAAGTCAAGGACTACCCATATGAGGAATGGCTAAGATTCTTTCTTTTATAAAATGAAAAATAAAAGGTATATTTAAAACATGATATATTTTTTTCCCTTCTTGCATCCAATATTTTAGCTATCAATGAGATGTAAATGTTCTAGATCAGGGGTCCCCAACCCCCTGTCCGTGGACCGGTACCAGGCCGCAGCATGCCAGCAACCGGGCCACACAAAGCCTCATCCATGGGATGCAGGCAGCACACAAAACCATGCACTCTCCGGTCCGTGGAAAAACCTTTCTCCACAGAACTGGTCCCTGGTGCCCAAAAGTTTGGGGACCTCTGTTCTAGATGAAATTCTGGACTACCTGTTTGGATGTGATTGTTTTGAAGTCTTGAAACGGGCATTATTTATACATTCTTTTTTGCTTTTTCTGTGCACGTTCTTTCAAAAATCTATTAGAGATTACCGTAATTGGGTCAAAATGTCTCTGAGGAACATCTGCGAACATCATTCTTACTTCATAGATATTAGTTACTTATTCGGCTTGTAAAATCTTAGTTTTTCTAAAGTTTTCTATGACCCTATATTTAAAATCTAGAATATATCCGCAAGATCATACAATTTCATGTTGTAATCTATGCCTCGGAAGAAGGATCAGTTAACTTTCACCTAATAGGGGGGAAAAAACTATACCTTTCTCTATAATATAATATAATATAATATAATATAATATAATATAATATAATATAATATAATATAATATAATATAATATAATATAATATAATATAATATAATATAATATAATATAATATAATATAATAATATAATATAATATAATATAATATAATATAATATAATATAATATTATAATATAATATAATATAATATAATATAATATAATATAA